TGGATATCACAACCTTTTTCCTTAAAATTATTCAAGACATAAAGAGGTATGGACCTTATTTTTGTGAACTCTCTCTCGGTCCTTCGCGTTTCAGGGATTCAGATTTTCCATTTTGAAATTGGTTATTGTAATCTCTATGTAGTTAATAAATCGTTGTTATCCTGTTAAAGTGGTGTCATCTTTACTCGTATATCGCCAGTCATCTTACCGACGCACTCCTCCCTCCTCCACTCGACCCGAAACATTTAATCCCGTTACTGCGGGAACGGTAAAATTTTAATCCATCCTGACCAGTGAGAAGGGTTTAACGACCTGTTGCTGGATCGTGAGACCTACACCCTCCCCGGCGGTTCACACAGTAGAGCATCGATTATCCGAATTAGTAATGCCACGAATATTCGGCTACTATTTGGTATTCAGCTTATTCGGCTACTTTTTTTAATATTTGGTATTCAGCCGAATGTTGCGTACTATTCGGCCAAATACTGAATGCCAAATCATGAAGAAAAAAAAATGCAGATATTACTCAAAAATGTATTTATTTTAATCACAAATTATTACATTTAATACTTAAAATCTATCAGTGGTAAGTTGTGATGAATGAAAACAATTTTTTCAGCATTTGTTGATGGCAAACGATTGCACTTTTTCTTATAAACTATACCTGCTTCTGAAAATAGCCTCTCACTATATACACTACTGCCGGGAGACGATAGATAAATCTTAGCGAATTCTGTCAGGCTTGGGTACTGTTTAGCATTTGCTGACCACCACTTGTAAAGGTCTGCCGTCCGATCTAGGCAAACAGTTTTCATATAAAAATCAATCTCATTTGCAATAGCACTTTTCTTCTCCACATCCTCATCATTTTGCATATTTTCTGGTTCAGCTGCTTCTACAATATTTTACCTTTGTTTATAAGATTTGTTTATAACTATTTTGTACTAGACGGCCAAGAGCCGTATTTGTTATAATCTTTTCAATAAGTAATTTAAGTTAATTTATTGTAATACTTTACTATCGGTGATAATTGTAAGATTCAGATTTCATCAATGTAAAATTTATTATTTATGTATACGTATTTTGATGGCCAGGAGTCATATCTGTTTAATACATTGATTAATGTTGTTTAATTACTATTGTATTTTCGGTTGGTAAATTTGTTCACTCTATGTGTAATTATATTTTGTTAAAAGTTTACTTATTGTCTGTATTCTGACAGGCAAGAACTGTATTTGTTTAAAATATTGATTTTTTTTTATATTTTCGGTTAAAATTGTCCTCAAACTACGTGTAATCAAACTGTCTTCAATTGTACATACTGTAAATATTGCAATTATTGTCTGTTTTTGACGGCCAGGAGCCGTATCTGTATGTTTTATTTGATTCTTAATAAACAGGCTGGGCGCCCAGAGACCTTCCCTTTTCNTTATTATTATTTTTTTTTTTTTTCGGTTGAAATTGTCCTTAAACTATGTGTAATCAAACTGTCTTCAATTGTACATACTGTAAATATTGCAATTATTGTCTGTTTTTGACAGCCTGGAGCCATATCTGTATGTTTTATTTGATTTTTAATAAAACAGGCTGGGTGCCCAGAGACCTTCCCTTTTCATCCCTTTCCTATCTCGCTTTACTTTTTCCCCTTCGCTTCTTCCCTTAATTACCTTTCCTCTACTCTTCTTCATATTCGGGCAATACCAAAAAGTAGTCCCAAGTCTTCATCCCCTTTATGCTAGATGATATTTTCTGTAGATATTTCTAATATTCTTTTCTGATATTCTAGATGTATATTTTCTGTATATTTTTCTGTTTTCTGACTTTCTCAAAACAGTTCCAGAAACTGTCGTATATTTCAATGGTTTTATCATTTCCATTGATATTTCTTTTCTTACGAAGTGGAGAAGAATCATCATCTGTACTAGTAGACTCATCACGACTAATTTTCAGAGCTTCTAAAAGAATTTTTTTGCTTTGCTGTTTGTGTTTGAACTAATCCCAGGAAACTGGTTTTGAAACGCGGGTCAAGAAAAGCTGACAACCAGATATTTGTCATTCTCATCAAAGTTGAACCGTGTTTCAAGCCCAACTTGTAGTGAAGATCTCATTTTCAATAAATTTGGTGTTCTATCTGCAGTCTCTTCCTTTCCCAGATATTTCAATAATGTGACAACATGTGGAATCACTTCGGAGATGCAGGAAATACCTGAGCTAGTTATTTTTGTAATCTCTTCGAACTGTTTGAGAAGTTTGAGACATTGTTCCATTAGCTCCCACTGAGAAGATGTTAAATTGTTTAACCTAGTCAATGTTGAAATTTGTATTTGTTGCCTGTGACGCCATGTTGAATTTTTGTCGATGTTAAGTCTAAATTTTTTTTTTAATAATAATTGTGTTTACTGTATTGTAAAAAAAATTTTTTTATGTTTCACAAACAAAATAAATATATTGAATTATATAGAAACAAAAAAAATAATTATATTTTAAAAGTTTGTTTTAATATAAAAATTGTGACGTATAGCGACATCTTGTATCAAAAACGTTCTGAAGTAAACACAAAAATATTCGGGATTGCCCACGCAGGTCAATGAGGTCAACACAAATATTTTCGGGAACAATGTAGGACAGGTTAAAGACTCTTGATCAGTTATATACAAAGAAACAGCTCACTTTTGTTCTAATAATTGCTCCATTAAATAATATGTAAATTCCAGCGTGTGCTTACATCCTGTACTAGTTGGTGGTTTGGCAAGTTAAGTTCTTGGCGAATGCATTTCAGCTTTTCTTGTGCTATACTAGAGTGGTTAAAATGGGTAACAATTCATCTCACAGCAACTACCATCTGTGTTATTTCCATTTCAGACTTTAGCGATTCCTTGGCAGCTCGTTGCAGTGAATGAATAAAACAATTGGCAGAATCATATTCTGCATCTCGTACACCTTTTATCATATTGGCTCCACTGTCATGGACAAGTAAATGGATCTTGCTATGAGGAATATTCCATCTTTCTGCAATAGCATTGAGTTCTTTTGCGATATTGGTACCAGTATGTGAGCCAGAAAACGGCTTCATAGCTAAAACACCATGTTCAAGAATAAACTCTGGAGATATCCAATGCGCAGTGAAACTCAAGAAACTCTGGTTATTGTGCTGATGTGTCCACATATCAGGCATCACTGATACTGCTGTTGCTTGTGAAATACTAGATTCAATGTTATAGCAAATTCTATTATATATATCAGGAATAATTTTCTCGGTCATGTAACTGCGACCAGGTATTTTGTATTGAGGTACTGTCTTTTCCATAAGCCTTTTAAAGCTGACTCGTTCAACGAGTAATAATGGTTCGTTGTCTAAAGCAATCATTTCACTGATTAAACAATGATATTTTATTGATTTTGGATCATTAATATCCCATAACAATTTCCTTTCAGTTGTTTCCTTCAGAGTTAACTGTTTCTTTTCTGATGTACCTGGTATTGCCAGTATCTTGGAATCGGTAGAAGTAAGAGTACCATCATTTTTGCTGCCACTTGCCAAGGGAACAACATTTAACGTAGCATACTGCTCAGCATGTTTGCTTTTAAGGTGGTTTTTCAAAGAAGTTGTTATTGTGTTCGTTTTTTTTATGTTTACAGCTGTAAAAAAAAGAACGAGAAGATTAAGTAATGAAAAATCTGACATCAAAGAAGGGAATTCCCGAACAGTACTAGCTTAAACTTGTATTATTCTGGCTTCACTTAAGCCTCTAAATTTCAAAGATGATAAATAAAATGTAGACTATATTTAAAAATAGGACTTATTTATATCAAGTGAAATATCGAAATACTACAAGTGAAATAAAGTTCCAGGCAAAACAAAAACAAGAAATAAAAAATTACAAGTGCTAAATACTAAATATGACAAATTGTTTCACTTAATTAATACGTAATAAGATTTTACTTACTTGCTTTCTTTCCTTCTCTGCCACGCGAGATCTTGTTGTTACACAGCAAACACACAGCAAGTTTATTATCTTCACTACAAATCTCATAATATTTCCAAATAGGCAATTTTTTTATTAAATGGTGCCATTTTATAAAGCTTTTGGCAAACAAACAGTGATATTTTTTAGTAATAAAAACTATTAGTAACACAACTTGATGTAACAATGAACAAATAACGCATGTCGTGACACGATCTACTCGCAAATGAAACAAACCCTCTCTCATAATTTCTCTCTCTCTCTCTAGGCCGGACAATCTAACCCCGCATTCTTATGGATATGATTACATCACCCACCTGACACGTGTGACAGAGCTGTGGACTGTCCATCAACACTTGATAGCATCTACACACCTGACATGTGTTACAATTGAATTTAACAACATATTTTGCCTAACATTCAGTGCTTTGGCCGAGAGCGTAGCTGTGTGTTCAGTACTTGGCAAAATCACTATTCGTGTCATCACTAATCTGAATGCCAGTCAACCGAAATATCGGTTAACCAAAAGTATTCCAGTCGGACTGTGTCATTTTGAATCGAATGTCTTTGATACTAGATTAACTTCTAAAGTATAATTTTTTTTGTTATATTTTTTAATATACAGTAGAACCTCGATTATCCGGACTAATTGGGGATGAAGGTAGTCCGGATAAGGAAAAATCCGGATAATCGAAACAAATACTTTAATTTGTCTTTTAATGATAATACAACACGTTTTCTTTTCGATGACATATCGGTAATATTAAAAGTNCACAGATTTATCAATAAAAATACTGTATTCAAATTATGAATATAAAAAATTAAATGTAATTAATGGGGAAATTTAAACAAACTATAGAAAAAAATTTGGATCAGAAAAATATGACACAAATTATGGGAAAACACCAATTCTGAGTTTACATATATATAATATATATGGAGTTTGGCTGTATTAATATAATATAATATATATATATACATAAGTTATACACAGTAATATTTATGTATAATAATAATTTCTGTGTAATCATTTAGAGGAAGAATTGAAAAGATTAAAGGCAGCTTTAGCATCTGATGGCGCTTATCATGAAATTGGTTTTACTTATGAAAATGAGGCTGAGAATACCCAATCATCTACTTCTTCAGAAGAAATTAAAGGTAAGGAAAAAATTCTTTGCAGAAAAGTAATATGAAATTTTTTGATGAAACAAGTTTTATGGGTTTGCTTATAAGAAAGAAATTTTAAAAGCTTTATAGCTCTTTTGTTTTTATTTCTAGTTTGTTTTATTTTTAAAAATATCAATGTTTTGTTTATATTTTATTTTTTCTAAAAATGTCATTAAAATTGTAATTTTTCTTTTTATTAGTATTTTAACCTTTTAGGTTAAATTTTGAATTCATTTAAAGTTTATGAAACTTTCTAAACATGATTACTGATTGGTTATTTGTGCAAGATCTAAATAGTTTGTGGAATTAAAACAAAAACTGTCTTGTACTGAAATATACTAAATATATAAAATTACTTGTCCTGACTGACTCACTGACTCATCATCGCCCAGAGCAAACCGCTGAACCTAAACAGGTGAAATTTGGTACACGGTTAGGGTACATCATGGAAACTCACACTAAGAAGGGATTTTTTGAAATTACCCCGCGGGGGAGAAGGAGAGCATTAAGGCTTAACTGGAAGAACGACTCCTACTGTACTATTTTAGATGTGATTTTTTTCTTTTTAACTACGTTTAGTCTTCATTGAGTACTTAGGTGTATTAAACTGATAACGTTTCAGAGATTGTTATAAATATTTTTATATGTTTCAATTTTTTAACCAAATGTTTGAACCATTTTAAATTTGAATTTGTATTGCATATTGGTTCAATTATATAATGATTGTAAACATTGCAGAAAATTGATCAAATTGAAAACAGTTCATTTTATTCTAGGCAATTCTCATTATTCTCAGCGGTAGGTGTTATGTAACGATTACTATGATTGTTGAAATATTGAATATAAATCGGGTTTGCTTGCAAAACCACCGCGGGCAACAGCTAGTATACTATATTAATAATCTATTTTTTCATACATAATCGATTTTCCAAACCCCAGTCCCCAATTGATTTGGATAATCGATGCTTTACTGTATATGATAGTTGATTGATAAATAAGGTGTTCTATAGCAGCATTCCATGATGTATGGAGATAAAAACATGTCACCATCATTTAGTAGTTACAAGTATCTAGTTAGTATGTATGTAAAAGTATATCTGTTTGCATCATTCCATAGCAAATCAAGTTTAAATATGAATTTATCTTCCTCATTCCACTTTCACTAATTGAATTTTAGTGTTGAAAGATTCATGTGAAGAAAGAGGATCAATTATGAAGTGTTGTGAAACCTTATCACCCCTTGAGATATATTTACAGAGAAAGGCCAGAAAGAACTAGCTTTTTCCTTCACTCTGGTAATGCAAAATGTGCCATAAGGAAATAGAAAGATCCTTAAATTAAATTAAGAATCTGAAATTACAAGTTATTCTATATCTTCTTTACAGCCCAGATTTGTTGCTATCTGAGTTCTGGTTGTTTCCAGAATTAAGAGAAATGGAAAGGTTACTGATTTTAATTGGATGCTGAAGTTCAAACTGCTGTGTGGATACAGATCAAAGAAAAACCAGAAAGTTTTTTTATGCCAGAATGCAAAAAAATGGATTTGAATACTTGGAAAACAATGTTGTTATAAATGGTTATTTTGTGAAAGAATGAATATATGTGAATAAAATAAATGAATTTTATTACTTTTTAAACTGGCAACATTATTCTACCTCTCACAAATCTCTGTTTTTTATTTTATAAAAATGGGGATTTTATTTATCAATAAAATTTTGTGTATTTTGTTTTATATTATGTGCATTCATAACTATAAATATAGTTGAACCAGTTATTTACAGTTCTCAGGGACTTCCAAAAATTAAGTCAAATACAGTATTAAAAAAGACAGAAAACCATTGTCAAAGTGCATGAATGCATTGGAAAACTTTACATTAACACTATCAATACTGTAAAAGATGGCAAATGACAGTAGCATCACCTAAACTATTAAAAATCACAGATTTATCAATAAAAATACTGTATTCAAATTATGAATATAAAAAATTAAAATGTAATTAATGGGGAAATTTAAACAAACTATAGAAAAAAATTTGGATCAGAAAAATATGACACAAATTATGGGAAAACACCAATTCTGAGTTTACATATATATAATATATATGNATGGGGAAATTTAAACAAACTATAGAAAAAAATTTGGATCAGAAAAATATGACACAAATTATGGGAAAACACCAATTCTGAGTTTACATATATATATAATATATATGGAGTTTGGCTGTATTAATATAATATAATATATATATATACATAAGTTATACACAGTAATATTTATGTATAATAATAATTTCTGTGTAATCATTTAGAGGAAGAATTGAAAAGATTAAAGGCAGCTTTAGCATCTGATGGCGCTTATCATGAAATTGGTTTTACTTATGAAAATGAGGCTGAGAATACCCAATCATCTACTTCTTCAGAAGAAATTAAAGGTAAGGAAAAAATTCTTTGCAGAAAAGTAATATGAAATTTTTTGATGAAACAAGTTTTATGGGTTTGCTTATAAGAAAGAAATTTTAAAAGCTTTATAGCTCTTTTGTTTTTATTTCTAGTTTGTTTTATTTTTAAAAATATCAATGTTTTGTTTATATTTTATTTTTTCTAAAAATGTCATTAAAATTGTAATTTTTCTTTTTATTAGTATTTTAACCTTTTAGGTTAAATTTTGAATTCATTTAAAGTTTATGAAACTTTCTAAACATGATTACTGATTGGTTATTTGTGCAAGATCTAAATAGTTTGTGGAATTAAAACAAAAACTGTCTTGTACAAGATTTTATAAAAGATTAATACTTTATTAAAGCTATTTTATCACTCTTAGACTTTCTACAGAATAATTACTAAATTTACAAAAAAAAAAATAGCCAAAAAATTTAAAAATTTGTTATAAATTTAAAGGAGAATAGAAAAAACTGCTTAATCCTAATCTATTTCTAATAACAAATAATAATATATCTTAATACTCACTGATCCAGGTCAAGTAAAGCCTTGTGTTATATTAATTTACATAAAATTTTATAAATTTATCAACTTTACAATGTCACTTTGTTGATATAATATCATATCATCAGTCATACGATAAAATATTATTTTAATAAAAATATTTTTACAGAAGAAGCAGATGAACAATATGTAGTTCCTCAAGGACTTACCCTGCCTAATGGCATTCAATTGGTATGTTGTCAAATTTTTATTGTATTTTTTGTTTATATACTTATATAATTATTTATATATTATATTTTCTAACATTATATACTTTTTACAGCCTCCTACAATGAAATTGCATACTATAATTGAAAAAACAGCTTTGTTTGTAGCTCAACATGGTGGCCAAATGGAAATTATCATTAAAATGAAACAATCTTCCAATCCACAATTTGATTTTCTTTCATTTGATCATGCATTAAATCCTTACTACAAACATCTAGTCAGTAGCATCAAATCTGGAAAATATGTTCCACTTAGTAAGTTTGTTATAAACAGATTATATTTTATTATTATTAATAAAATTAATTTTAGTTAATCATATTTTTAGTAATATTCTTACTAATTTCAATTATATTGTAAATTATATTTATATATGCAGTTTAAATTATATTTATGATTCCAATTACAATTACAGTGAAGGTTTCATGGTTCGACATCTAGTTAAACTGCAATGATATTTTAATGATTTTAATTATAAATACATAATTTTAAATGAAAAAATATATATGTACCATCACAACCTAAAGAAAATTCCGGATGTCATGCTGACGGATGAGGGGCCTTTGCCCAAAACACGTATCGGCCTATAGAAGAATCACAATAAAGATGATGTAAAATGCCTTGTGTCTATTAATGCACCTAGTAGTGAAGAGAAAAACAAAACCAAAAGCAATAAGGATGTCACTTAATGTATTTATTTTAAATTAAAGTTACATTTGTTAGTTTTTTAAATATTTGGAAAGCTTAAAATAGAATTAAAAAGTGTACATTTCTAACCATTTAAGGATTAATGTAGATTTCTGTCTTTGATTTACTTTTATTATCTTCTGGTCAAATTGTGAGCTACAAGCACCATATTTTCCACCAGAATCTGACTTTTAGGAAATGGAAAGTCTTACAATATTGATTTAGCACTCCATCCACCATACTTTGGGAAATTTGTAGTTGTTTGGCTATGAAATGTCTTGTTTTTTGTGTTCAAATGTGTTCAAACATTTCATTGTGAAATGTTCCATTTTAAAAATATTCTGATGCCATATTACACCTGATGACCTATAGAATCTAGATTGAAAATGTTTGTTATGATATAAATAATTCTCAGCAAGCATAAGGTTGTTATGAAAATTTCTTTAAACTTTCCACTTGAAAGGTTATATATAAACAGAAATAATTGTTTATATTTTAAAAATTTCTTTTTCAGAGGCTCCAGTAAAAGATGATGATGATGATGATGACGATCCTGATGGCCATTATTTACATCCTAGTTTGTTTGCTGCAAAATCTGATAACACTCCAGTAAGAATATTTCTAAATAGTTTAACGAAAGGAAGAGCATTCTAATTTTGTTGATGATTATTTTATAAATTCATAATTGTTTTAAATACATAAGTGTTTAGGTCTCATATTCTATAAAAACATTTTTAAATTTAGTCTCTTTCCATATGACATATTAAATTATGATTCCAATCTTTTTCCAATTTTCACACAGAATAATAATCTTGATGCCAATCAAAATTTGTTCTAAATCAATATTTTTACAAATTGTTTTACATTAACATTTTGTTTACTAATGATGAGATATTTACCATGCATTTTGTCCACTAGAGAATTTTCAGTTTTTTGCAAATAATGATTTTTATCTTTGAAACTGCATATATGAACATATGGAAAGAAAAAAGGAGTTTTTGGATTTAGTCAGGGATGAAGAGTCACTGTCAGGAGTTGAGGAGTCTAATCTTTTCATAGGAATCTGAGTCGATTTTAAAAAAATACTGAGTTGGGAGTCATTTGTTTTTCCGCTGACTTCCCATCCCTGGATTTGGTATTGAAATGACATATACAGAAAATAAAAGTTAAAATAGTGAAACTATCAGCAATCTGTCATTATTATATTTGCTTGTATAGTTGTAAAAAGAAAAGACAATCTTTTATCATATGTAAAAACTAGGTACAGTGGTATCTCATACTTCCAATGACTCTAACTTTGAATGCTTTGGAGTTTGAATGATGCTTCAAAGTTGCATGCACAGTGAAAAATGTTCTTGAAGCATAAATGCAATCTATTGTGTGTCTAAGTCATCTCTCACTCTTGCTTATGCTTTATGTTTTCAGTGCTTTTTTTTTTTTGCCAAGAAAAGTAGGGGTTAGATAAGACCGAAAATTAATTAATTAATTTTTGGTCTTATCTAACCCATACTTTTCTTTTNTTTTTTTTTTTTTTTTTTTTTTTTTTTTTTTTTTTTTGTTATATTTACTGTATTGTGTGTTATTTGTCAATTTTTAACAATTTCTTCCTGTAATTTTTCTGTCAACAGCTTTTGTGTGCCCCATACATTTTCTACCTTTTAGTTTAAAATTTCCCTGACAGAACTTTTATTCAGAACAAATGCAGAATTTAAACTGCATTTGACATGTTTGGGGTTTACAAGTATCTTCCCCATACACATTACAATTTTTTTTTACTATTTGTACAGCATTTATCTTTTTCAAAACTCAAAACATAATATGCCTGACATGCTTTTTATCTGAACGCATTACAACTTGATGTTATTCAAAACACAAAATCTGAAATAAACAATTAAAGCAAGCTTTCACTAATAAAATCTCACACTTCTACATGTTAAATTTTACAACTGTTATAATTAAATTGCACATATATGTTAAGATGCAGAAGTCCACAGTTTTTATTTTACACATTATACAGTATTTATGTATCTTATTTATGGTTTTAACTTATTAGGGCATTTAATTCTGTTATTTTTATCTTAAATTATGTGAATTGCTGTTTTAAGTTTATTGAAATGGGTATTGTTCACAGTTTTCCATTATTTCTAATGGGAAAAATTGATTCAGAGTTCATATGCCTTCCTGAAATGAATTAAATTAGAATTATGAGGCACCATTGTAGTCACTTTTCTCACTTAATAAATGTATTTAAACAGTTTTTAATTTTTGAGAGTAACTATCTGATTTAATATTTTTATCTTCAAATCATAATGAGGGTCTGTTATTAGAACAGCTGAAATCTTCAAACATGTGCAGCACACATTTTGAAAAGTACAACTGAATACATGTTAGTAAAGTTTAAACAGGTTTTCAAATATTGAAATGTTATAAATAAATGTTGTTTATAAAGATAAGAGAAGATAATGTTTATTATTGTATAAATTAGCCAGGTGAATCTTGTTTTTTTAGAATAATAAACAACATAGATTCATGTGGACAATATGTAAAAAATATGTAATGATTTATCAAAACAGTCAAATTCCTCTACAGCAATATTTAACCAAACAAGAAAATGTATTGTTGGAAAAAGATTTATTGTTATAGTAAGTGTAATTTGCAACACTAAGACATCTCTGTACACTGTTTAAGAGAACTTTGTTATATTAAATGAGTTTAGCATAAAGTTTCCCTTAAATTATAGGTTTGTCTTAGTGTAGCAAATTATATTAATTTTAAAAGTATAAGATGCTTTGTTACAATTACTTCTACCTAGTAAGATCAGGTTTTGACTGTAATGTACAAGTTTACTATAATTTATAATTTCTTGAAAAAATTTGGAAATAATAGATTTGAGTCCAAAAACTGCTAAACTGCTCTAGAATGTGCTAAAATTGGATTTCTTCTTCATTTAGTGTTAAGTGTTATTAAAAATTTTGCTCAAAAGATAAACAAAACAAAAACTAACCAATTTTAGGCACTAAAATACCAAAAGCATATGGCAACTCTGCTATTGTCTGTACTGATGCCTACAGGTAACATTTGTGGTAGAATTGCTGTTTTAAGAGAGCACACTTTGATTCTGAAAATAAGTGATAGATTAAATTTAATAAAAGTTTAATTTACTACATTACCATCATTGTAGAGAAAGGAAAATTATCAGGTCAGTCCATAAGTTCATGTTCATTTTTATGACCTTATGAAAAATCTTGTTAAAAATGCAAGTGATGCAAGACAAACCAGATCTGTTTTACACTAAAGTGTTAAAACAGATCTGGTTTTTATAGTACTGTTGAGAATTGTAAACATTTCAATTGTTTATTTTTGCTAAAATGGAAGTAACTGACGAATGCAAACAAAAATAAATAAATAAATATTGTACATAATTAAAGTGTAATTAGTGTAAGACTGTGCAGAAGTGATTTGAGAGATTTAGAAACAATGATTTTAGTGTAGAGGATAAGGAGAAGGGCTTTGATGATGATGGTCTCTCTACACAAGTTGAAGCAGAATCATTGTTAATAGTTGATGAAATAGTAGAATGTTTAAATTCATCCCATATAACTGTTCATAGACACCTACAAGAGATTGGAAAAGTTTTAAAGCTAGGAAAATGGGTACCACATGAACTGTCAATAGCTAATTGACAACAATGTGCAAATATTTGCATGTGTCTTTTAACCCATATTGCTTTAGAACTTTTCTTGATTGGCTGGTTACTGGAGATGAAAAATGAATCCTGTATAATAATATGATGAGAAAAAGACAATGGATGGATTGCAGCCAGTAGCCAAAACCAACTGCAAAAGGTAGCTTGTATCCCAAAAAAATTCTTTTGTCTGTTTGGTGGGCTATGTCAAGTGTAATTAATTTTGATCTATTAGAATTAAATCAAACAATTACAGCTCAAATTTATTATGAGCAATTAGAGCATTTAAATGAAAAATTGAAAAAAACAACCATCATTAGTTAACAGAAAGCAGGTTCTCTTGCTACATGACAATGCCTGACAATGTGCTATAAAAATAACTGTACAAAAACTCGAAAGCTACAACTGGGAAATTTTACCTCATTCATATTTACCAGATATTGCTCCCAGTGGTTATCATCTTTTTATGGTTTGAAGAACTTTTTAAAAGGAGAAAACTTTTGAGGATGAAAATAGATAAAAAATGCTACTGTATTTCTAAATATTTTGATTCAAAACCAAAATAATTTTATGAAGACAGATTAAAAATGTCTTACCATCAAAATAAGGGTGACTACATTATAGATTGAAATAAAATTCAAATGTTTTTTTTAGATAAAAATATGTACAGATTTATTGACTGATCTGATATTTTACAAATACAGTACAGAAATTAATGCTAAAATATAGCTATTGCCAGAGATTTATTGCAGAAGAGGATACTGCTTAGTCAGAAGTTTTATATTACTGTATAAGTTAATTAATGTATATTGTATAGGAAACTGTATTTATTACCATTACGGATGATATCATTATGTCAATATTCTTTGTAATGAGATGTTAACTTTAAAAATTTTATATTTTCAACTTATTTTTTTATTTTAAAATAAATTATTTGTGTAATTTATGAACATTTTAATCAAATAAAATTTTCTTTATAATTAAAATGATGATGCTTTAATTATATTATTTGTTTTTCAGTTACATTAATCAAAGTATTTTCTTAATATTTCAGATGTCTTTACCTAATATTCAGTTTCGTTGTGATGAAAATGATGCCTATTCACTTTTGGTAAAAAATTTAAAAAACAAGTTATCAGAACCAAAAAGTAGTACAGCATCACCTCTTAGATCAGCTCCTCCAACTGAACCTGCTAGAATATGTAAATAGTTTTAAATAGTATTTAAAAAATAAATTATTATTATTTTATAATGGAAATTTTTTTTCTAGTTCCTTCACAACCTAATTTAGAACCATTTGGTATGCATCGTCTAAGTTCAGAATCATCTGATCAACCTCCACCACCAGGAGAAGGTCCTGCATTATTATTACCTACAACTCAAGGTTCTGTAACAAATAGTCCTTTTGGAATGTTGGATCCCTCTTCACACATTATTCCACCTCCACCTGATGTTCAACCTATTATTGATAAAATGGCAACTTATGTAGCAAAAAATGGTGATGATTTTGAAACTATTGTAAAAAGCAAAGGTAATTTATTTTCAAATACTCAAATTTATATATATATATATTATTACTTTGATTACTCAAAAATAATTTGGCAAAATAAAATTTGAAATCATTTTTCTGCTAATATACAACTGATTCTAAAATAAGTTATAACACAATACTAAGTTTTCTATAAGTCTGAAGTTTTTACTTGAAACTGCTTGATTCCTTAAAAAAAAAAAATGTCAAATGTCATTTGTGAGTGTGAAAATGTGATAACACTATAACTGTTTAAATTTTTATATTAGTAATTTTAATGATTAATTGGAAATTAATTTTTAAAAGATGACAATATTTATTATTATATTATTTTTTTTGTTTTGTTTTCAGGAGATAAACGTTTTGAATTTCTTTTACCATGGCATGAATATCATTCATATTATTTGTTTAAAAAACATATATATTCTGAACAAAAAAAGCGTGAGAATCTTTCACAGCAGCAGATTATAGAAAGTGCAAATATCAGTGATCAAGACAGTAGTAAGGATGGCCATGATGATGATTCAAAAAAATCAAAAAATAAAGGTTAGAATTTTTATTTATGAACTTACAGAAAACGAAATTTTCTGCATTTAAATTCAGAGTTACTATGAACAGAACTTATTTTCATTGTTTCCAATGAATTAATTTGTTGATTATTCTCAAGAAATCAATTGGAAACTCATTTGATTCTCGAAAGTTCTCAATTCTTAAAATTATCCAATTCTTTCCCAGGTTAATTTCTTGCATCTGTATGTCTCCTTGTCATATGACTTTTATTTCTCTGACAACGCTCAAAATAGTTCTCAGAATATATTTTGTTGTGCTTTCTGATTACTGTTATGCCTAGAGTGATTTTACTTATTTGTATATAAGTAATATCTTAATTTTTTGCTGTATTCAGGTTAAGTTATACATTCTTCATACTCAAAAATCTCTTCTGTTTTTTCATTGGGCATGTTTCTTGCATATAGTAAAATTTAACATAGAAAACCACCTTGTTCCAAAGAATTTTTTTTTGTTCAGATTCCATTTTGTACAGGTCTTACTATATATATATATTTATATATATTTTTTTTCTTTTACAATAAAATATATAAACTTGATATAGTACAATGCAGGCTCATTTATAATGCAAAACTTTTAACTACTGTATAAGTTTATTTAGGATACGTTCGTAAAGTTGAACGAGTTAAATGAGAATGACGTTGTCGTTATTCTTATTTTGTTAGACTTTTTGAATATTTGTTTATAACTAAATGGATGTTTCTAAAATCGAAGATATGAATGTTGCTAATGCAGCCTTATCTGAAATATTTTTCTTAGATTGCTTCAGATGGATAGTTATTTCAATCATTTCACCTTTTAATTCACAATTTAAACACACTAGTAGATTTAGAAACATCGATATCGTCGGGCGCCATTTTCTTAATGAAGTAAACTAACTCTTTCCTTCGTNAAAACTTTTAACTACTGTATAAGTTTATTTAGGATACGTTCGTAAAGTTGAACGAGTTAAATGAGAATGACGTTGTCGTTATTCTTATTTTGTTAGACTTTTTGAATATTTGTTTATAACTAAATGGATGTTTCTAAAATCGAAGATATGAATGTTGCTAATGCAGCCTTATCTGAAATATTTTTCTTAGATTGCTTCAGATGGATAGTTATTTCAATCATTTCACCTTTTAATTCACAATTTAAACACACTAGTAGATTTAGAAACATCGATATCGTCGGGCGCCATTTTCTTAATGAAGTAAACTAACTCTTTCCTTCGTAAACTTTGTTAGAGTTTCGTTCAAAACATCATCACTGCAGAGCATGTGCACTGGATGAGACTACTACTTTTTGAACAACTCGTTACTAATGTGTTTGACTTTACAAACATACCATAATTGAAAGGATACACACGAATGTTTTTGAGTCTAGGAATCAAAAATATTAGAAAAACAACATTCATGCTATACTTCTTGATAAGTCCGCTTTTATTCAAATTCTGGAATTTACTGTTTCAAAAAAGAAGAAGAAAAATTCTAAATTTGATTCTTCTTGTTCAACTGTTTTGTCAAACCTTTGAATCATTTTTAAAAAATTATGCCTTAATTTTTGTGACATTGTACTAAAGACTCAGGTTATAATGCAAAAAAAATGATAATTTACAATGTACACATCTGTGAAAATTGCAAATTTTGAATAAATGTTTTTATTAAATATTTCTATATTAATAATAAATTATTTAAATTATAAGATCATTAAAGTTTATAGTAGTGATTCCACTTATATTTACTAATAGATTACATCTTTTTATTTCATTAAACTAAAGTACAGTAGAGCATTGATTATCCGATTCAGTTGGGGACTCAGGTTGGTCGGATAACTGAAAAAAATACATTATTAGTATAGTATATTAGTATATCCCATGTAATTAGTATATTAGTATATCGCTATTAATCAACTTCACGCTGAATTTTCATCAATGTTAAGCCTAACAAATTTTTTTAAAAAAATAATAATTGTCGTTATTGTATCATTGAAAATCATTTTTAAATTGTTTTATTCCTCACAAAACAAACAAACCCATTCATAATTAGAAAATTAAGTCTCGTTTAAATACTGGCCTCCATTCAATGGTCGAGCCGTGTTACCAGCTAAAACACGCAAAAATTTAACAAAAATAACATTAAAATATCCAAGACATAGCCAAATATTGTAGTGCCACATCACTAGCAGACATTTGAAATTTGCCGACTAGAACGGTCGGTTAACCAATGTGACGTTAATCGGGGGTCAGATAATCAATGCTCTACTGTACTTGTTTATTTGGAAATAATTATTTCTTAATGATAAATGATTAAAAAATTAATAATCTTAAAAATCTCATTTGAAATTACATAATTATGGCTTGCATGTTTGAATTGATTTCACAAAAATAAATTTGAAATACAGTAGAGCGTCGATTGTCCGAATCAATTGGGGACTGGGGTTGTTCAGAAAATCAATTTTTTGGATAACCAATTATGTACAAAAAAATACATTATTAATATAGTATATTGGTATATCCCAATAATAGTATATTAATATAGCCCATGTTTAAATTGTTCTCCATTGCATGTTGCTTTGTGTTGAATTTTTGTTGATGTTAAGCCTAACGAAAATTTTTATAATAATAATCATGGCTATTATATTGTTAAAAATTATTTCTTTATTTTGTACAAAGAAAATAAAGAAATAATTTTTAACAATACATTAGCCATGATTACGTGATTGTATCATGGTTATTGTATGGATAGCCATACAATAATCATGATACAATTAATATTAAAAAATATAAAAACAAAAAAATTATACTTCAGAAGTTAATCTAGTATCAAAAAGATTCGATTCAGCATAACACACTCCAACTGGAACGCTTTCGGTTGATCGACATTCAGATAATCGACGCTCTACTGTATTTATATAAAGAAAAATTGAAATAACAAGAAAATATACTTCTCTTACATTATTGTTTAATTTAAATATAGTTGCAACTCCAGTAAGCTTCTCAATAAAGGCAAAAGATATGGATACACTTCATTTAGAGAAGAAGAAAACTATTTTGTTACTGGATGATGATTCTGGAGAAGAGCATGAAGATAAGCAAAATTCAGATAGTAAAAAAACTGAAAGTGAAGAGATCATTCAATCAGCAAACCCAGTTATTTCTCCCAATGAAATTGCAATCACAGTAGAAAATGAAGAGAAACCAAGAAAATTAACTCAAGAAGAATTAGAAGCCAAATTAGGTAAAATTAACATAATGTAAATTTTAAAATATTTATGATAAATAAAATCAACTAACATTACTACTTTATTCATTGATTTATCTATACAAGTGATTTTAGGAAATTTACTTAGGAGGATGAAATTCAGAGGAGGATTCATCCAGGGTAAATTTTGAAACTGGGAACAAAGGGTAGAGGTGGCAAGTTAATTTTTTTTTGCTTTCAACTGCTAATTTTATTTAGCAAATTCACTTAATATTTAGAAAGTTGAAATATGTTTGGGCTTAAATTAATTTATTGAAAATTAAAATTTATTCAAGAAACTATTATAACTGAAGGTATTGAGAAATAAATTCTTAATAGAATCTAATATCTAAATAATATTAAAAATATATTATTGTATTTATCCAAGTTATTGTTTTGGATTTTGTAGTTCTTTGTAACTGGTCATTTATGCAGGAAAAACTTGGATATTGCAACTGATTTAGTATTTGTGTTAACAAGTCTTTTATTGCTTTCCCACTATTTCATTAATCTTTTTAGAGAAAACTTTTTTGCAAAGTAGATAAGAAATTCAATATGCAGTAGTTGGAAATGAAAAGTCAATTGTATACTTGCTTTAGATGATGATAAACTATGATTATTTCTCAACTGTTTTCAATTTTGATTCAAAAATTTGAAGTGATTATGAAATTTTTCTATGTAACTGGTTTTATTTTACATTATATAAATTTAATTTTCCTCTTTCTCCAATAGTTAAAATGTTGGTAATTGCTTCTTGTCCTCCAAAATTACATTAATATTATTGGAATGATCATATATTAATCTGTAATGCTAAATTTAATAATCATTTCTCAATTTGATTGCTTTAAAAATTGAGTTTTACAAAATCTTTTGAAAGTGCTAACTTGTATTATAGCATGACTTCAACTATATTATTATTATTTCAGATATTAATTAAAAAATGTAATTAAAAGTTTCATAAAATATAAAGTTTATTCAAATAATTTTGAAGATCTTTATATGTGGCTTGTTTGTAATATTTGATCTAACAATATAAGTAAACTTATTAACGTAGTTAAATATGTTTTTAAAGTGAACAATTATAAATTTGATGATACAAACAAATATATGAGTAATTTATTGAAATTTTCTTTAAGCTGAAGAAAAATTGAAAGATAAATTAGCTGCTGCTGCACGAGAAAAATTAGCTCAACAATCTCGAGATAGGCAACTTCAGTTAGAGCGAAAAAGGAAAGCTGCCTTATTTCTTAATAAATTAAAGGATTCGGGTCCAGTAGATGAAACTGCAGTTCAATCTGAAAGTAATGCTACTGATAGTAATGATAAATCCAAGCAGTCTCCAGTGTCTTCACTAGTAGCATCTCCATCTGATACACATGATTTACGGTTAGTATCAGAATTATTTGTATATAAATTTATAAAATTTAAAATGAAATCAAAATCAACTTTTCTATTTAAGGAGTCCATTTTTATCTTTGCCTTCATCGCCACTTCCAACATCTAATGAGAATGATTTCAAAAGTTCATCAGGAAGTAGACATGGAGATAGTGAGAGACTTGCCAGGTTTCTTGCAGAATCTGGTTCGTTATCAATCCAAAAAATGAAATCAAGATCAAGAAGACGATCTCCATCTCCTAGATCTCACCATAAGCATCATTACTCACCTTCTCGAGGTAGTTCAAAATCCAAAAAGAGATCTAGGTCTAAATCTAGATCTGATCATAAGAAAAGATCTCGTTCACGATCAAAATCCAGAAGTCATAAGAAACGTCATAAGTCATCGTCAAAATCACCATCAAAGTCAAAGGATGATAGATCCAAAACACCACCTGCTGCATATTCTTTAATCAGAAGGTATTAATAATTCCTGATTATTTGTATATAATATAAAATTTTATTATTTGAATTTTTGAAATAAGATACTGAGATTTTAAAGATATTCTGAACTAAGCAATATAATAACTTTTTATTTTACATTGTAAATTCATTCACATTTTATTTATATTTATGGCAAGTATATCCATATCATAGCTTAAATTTGTAAGATAAGGAATAGTAAGCAAAGAGTGAGATAGAAGAGCTGTAGGTTTATTATTTACAGTATATATTAAATTTCAAATATTAATCTTGATATTTTGATTATAGGTTTTACATATACTATGAAGGAAAGTCATTAAATAGCAGGAATTTTAATCTAATATTCATGAAGATGCACTGTGAAAAATCCTATTGGAGGACACAAAATGACTCCTTAGCAATATGCCATATAGGTGTCAGGATGATCAAGCTGTATGCACCAATGCAATAACTCATACAACATGGCTGCTCCACTGTTGAACTGCACCATGGAAGAGCACCAAAGTGTCATTCAAATTTTATTGTCAGAGGGAGTAAAACCTGAAATCTACAGGAAAATGATGGTTCAATATGGAGACAGTTGTTTNATAAAGTTAAATAAACAATAAATATTACTAAGTTCAAAATTATGTAACTCTAATCCAATACACAATTTCCAATATTGTTTATATACAGTTGCACTAGAAAATTTCATTACACAATTCTTCAAATTTATTTTAGTATCACTCAAATATCTTTTTTTCATTTTCTTATACTTTATGATTTTTATAAATATATATGTTTTTTCTATTTTAAACAATGTAGAATAAAATTACAGAAGAAATAGTGTTTATTATATACAGTAAACCTCAATTTAATAACTTGGATTTAATGGACAAAATTTCCAGTCTATCATATGTGAATATTAACAGGGTGTTAATTTTTAAATGATTTTTATATGTGATTAAATTAATTAATTTAACAGGTTTTTTCCGAAAACTAAAAGTTGCCACTTAATTAAATACAATTAAATTGTATTTTCCAAAAAAATGTTTGCTTATTAATTTTGATTTAGATTGTGTACTTGTTTATTACAGTCTCGAACTTCAGTGAATATTTAAGCAATAATATATATATAAAAGTTTTCTGTGAAATTAAACTTCTTATACATACATTTCTGTAATTAAATTAAGTATCTACCAATAAGTAAAAACATAAAAAAAATTGGCAAATTAATTAGTTTAACATGCTCAATTGAAAAACTTTATTATACAGTGGACTTTTAAAAGGCTTCAGTACTTGCCCAGATTAGTCTAGGTTTTCCTGTAATTTCAAAATAAGAAGTAAATAAAAAGAATCACAAATGAATGTATTAAATGACATAAATTCAAAAGTTTCAATAATTAAGAAATTAAATATTTTAGAATAATTAATTAAAGTTTTAAAGATGGTTTTAAGCAAAAGTATCAGAAGTGGAAAAACAAATTTGATGAAAAATTTAAATTATTTACAGAATAATAAAATGACAATGGAGATCAATAAACTTTGGAAATATCATATCTTATCAAATTTACCAACTGACTTATTTATTTACTGTTGAAAATTTATAAAGTACAGGTAGCTCTTGGTTTATGCCTATTCACAATAATGCCGCTGTGCAATTTACTGTTTTGCCATGTAATTCCTTGATTCTCCCTATACTAGACTGATTTTTGTTTCAGTGTTGACATATTTACTGAGCTGCAACGTTGTATATTCATTAAAATTAATATTTTTATCGAATATATTTATTTTTTCTGTTTAATATTGTTGGGTATGTATACATTTACATTAAGTTAATATTATAATACTAAATGTTTAGGTACCCACTTATATAAGAATAAAGGAGGGTTATTATTATATCAGATAAAAGTGCACCAGAGTTATATAAACATGCTAAGAAGGCAATGCACTCTATCCCCCTAGAAACAAAAATGGAAGTTATTTGGCGAATGGAAAATGGACAAACACGCCCTAATGTCTGTACATCTTTGAACTTAACTCCATTGACTGTTACTACCATTATGAAAATTGCAGATAAAATTAAACACTCTGCTCAGCAGTCTACGGCAGTAAATGTAAACATGTGAGTTACAGTAGAAGTAAAATTTTTGAAAAAATGGAAAAATTATTAACATTATGGGTGGATGATGCAAATCAAAAAAAAAAGCTGCTATAACTGAAAAAGCAAAATCAATTTTTGATAATCTTAAGGAGACAGATAGAAGTGAAGAAACTTTTTTGTGATGCAAGGGTTGGTTTATGAGATTTAAATCCTGAAGTAAGTGTTGTAGTGTAAAATTATATGGTGAAGCGGCAAGTGCAGATGCTGTTGCAGCGGCAGCTGCCTTTTCTAAGGAATTTCAGGGTTATGTAGAACAAGGCAACTATTCTCCAGACCTAATCTTTAACGTTGATGAGACTGGGCTTTATTGGAAAAATTTAACAGCACAGACTTTTATTTCTCATGAAGAACATTCCACTCTAGGTTTTAAAGTGCAAAAGATAGATTAACTCTTTTGTTGGGAGCCAATGTTTCAGGAACTTTGAAACTTAAACTGATGTTAGTGTGTCGTGTGTCATTCATAGACACCATGTTCTTTAAAGGGTCTAAATAAAGACATGTTGCCAGTTTATTGGAAATGGAACAAGAAAGCTTGGGTCACACAAGATGTTTTCACAGATTGGTACACAAGTTATTTTTGCCCTACTGTGCTTTGCTTTAGTGAAAAGAAATTACCACCCAAGGAACTTCTTCTCTTGGACAATGCTCCAGGACATCCTCAAAACCTTGATCAAATAACACCATTAGATGTCAAAGTTGTTTACATGCTTCCCAATACATCATCATCTTTTGCAACCAATGGCTCAGGGGTTATTGCAACCTTCAAAGCTTATTATCTCTGTAATACATTCATGGAAATGATGAGAGTTTTAGACACTTCAGATAAAACAGTTAGACTATTGGCGGTCTTTCAATATTTTGAAAGGCATTAAAAACATCAAGTCGGCTTGGGATGAAGTTTCAGAAAAATGCTTAAATGGAGTTTGGCGTAAACTTCTGCCAGCATTCATGCATGATTTTGAAGTAGCACATCAGGGGAATTTAATTGAAGACATTACCAGACTTGTGCGTGATGTGGGATTGGAAGATGTGACAGAACTTTTAGAAGCCCATGATCAGCCACTCTCGAATGAAGACTTAGAAGAATCATACAAAGAAAAATTAGATCATGAACAGTCAGAGAAGGAAGAAAACAGAAGAAATTCCAAGAGTTATGAAAATGGCCGATTAAAGCGTATCCTTTCAACTATGGAAAGTTTGACGGATGAACTTTGTGAGTTAGACAACGATTGGGAGTGCAAATGTAAAAAGGAGCATCATTGCATCCATTAGACCATATTCTGAAATCCTTAATGAAAGATAACAAAAATCTAAACAAGTAAAGATGGATACTTTTTTCTGAAAAATGTAAGAGATCTGAAACTTTGAAATATCATTTGTTTTTCTTAAGATTTTTTTAATAAAAAAATTACACTTTATTTTATCATAAAATACATTTTAAAAATTAAATTTATAATATATGTATTTTGTATTATATTGTATTAATAAACAAAATTACAGTAGAGCGTCGTTTATCCGAAACGTCAGTTATCCGAAAGAATTCCAGTTGGCAAATTTAAATTTTTGCTAGTGATGTGGTGCTGCAATCTTTGGATATGTCTTGGGATACTCCAATTTTTTTTTTTTTTGTTGGTGTGTGTGTTTTAGCTGGCAGCACTGGCACTTTTGTGTGGTGTTTTTCTGAGGACTGTGTGGTGCTGATTCGAATGTTTTTGATACTAGATTAATTTCTAAAGTATAATTTTTTTTGTTTTTATATTTTTCAATATACAGTGGTACCTTGGTATACGTCTGCTTTAGAATACATCCAATTCGGAATACATCCTGTTTGGACGAAACAAATTTTGCTCGGTATACAACTTAATTCAGTTATATGCGCCATCTATGAGCGAGTAGCATTATCAGTGTATTAGACCACACTAGACGTTCGCGGTGCCACAGTTTATAACTTTGTTAAATTTTTTTTATTTTAATTTGTAAGTAAAATGTTATTATTTTTATTAATCATGAATTGCAAAAAGGCAACAGAAAAATAAAAAAATGACTAAAATTACAATGGCACTGAAAAAAAGAGATTGTTGAGAAATATGAAGGTGGCATGAGTGTTCGAGATTTAACTGTTGCATACTGTATTCCGAGAACGACGATATCGACAATCGTGAAAAATAAAGACATTATTAAATCTGCTAACGTTGCGAAAGGGGTTAAATCAATTTCTAAACAGAGATCGAAGACATTAGATCATGTCGAGAAATTGCTTTTGCTTTGGATAACTGAAAAACAATGTGCTGGCAACAGCGTATCAGAAGCAATTATTTGCAAGAAAGCTAAAAAGATACATTCTGATCTCATGAAAAATCAAGCAGGAACTAGCCAGGAAAGCAAGGTGTTTAAAGCCAGCCATTTTTTTTTAACATGAGAACGGATTAATCATTTTTACATTACTTCTGATGGGAAAGGTTGGTTTGGTATACGTCCTATTCGGTATAAGTCCAAACACCAGGAACGGATTAAGGTCATATACCGAGCTTCCAGTGTATTTATTTTGTTTGTACAAAATAAAGATATAATTTTTAACGATACAATAGCCACGATTATTATTTTAAAAAGTTTACGTTAGGCTTAACATTGACAAAAATTCAACGCAAAGCGACACACAACAGAGAAAAATTTCAGCATGGAATAGGTTAATATATTTTTTCGTACATAATCGGTTATCCGAAAAATAAGTTATCTGAACAACCCCAGTCCCCAATTGATTCGGATAAACAACTCTCTACTGTATTTGCTTATTTTTCACTTATATAGAACCTAACCCTATACCTCACTGTAAATATGGGTTCATTTTATGCTGATTCGATTTGTGCAGGCTATTATAGGAATGGAACTGCAGCATAAACCAAGGGCTATGTGTACTAAAATCAACTTTGTAAAAATCAGATCAATAAAAATGAAAAAATTCAATGGAAATTTTTCATATGAATACAGAAAAACTTCTGTTTATCTGGTAGAAGAAATAAGAAACACAGGGCAATTTATAAATAATTTTGGAAAGTATCTTTTCAAAACTATTCACAATTGCCCTATGTTTGTCAGAATAATGCATTTGCATGAAAACATGGTATTTTAGATATTACACCTAGGAAAGAATTGGATTTTACATTTAATTCTGCTTTTTGATTAATTAACATAATATTAATAATTATAATAAGCCATAATCACAGATAAAACAATTTACCACAACAGACCAGACATCACACTCATTGACAAACACAATAAAATCACATACATTATAGACATAGCCATTCCAAACACTCACAATGTACAAAACACATGCACTGAAAAAATTAGCAAGTACACAGAACTTGCCCAGGAAATAAGGCATCTGTGGAGGATGGATAGGGTAGTTATTGTACCTGTTGTTCTCTCCTGTACAGGTGTGATACCACACACACTACACAAAAGCCTGGGAACATTAGAATTGAGTAGAAATACATACATCACACTACAGAAGGCCACTATATTGAATACATGCCACATTGTTAGGAAATTCCTGAATACAGACACACACACTGACACACTTATTTAATTTTAGTTTTGTTTTGGTTGCTACGCCTTGACTCTAGTCCGGCATAGTACACAGCCACCGGTGTGAACTGAGTAAAACCCACTAAACCCAACATAATAATAATAATAATAATAAACAGGTGTGATACCGCACACGCTACACAAAAGCCTGGGAACATTAGAATTGAGTAGAAATACATACATAACACTACAGAAGGCCACTATATTGAATACATGCCACATTGTTAGGAAATTCCTGAATACAGACACTGACACACACATTTAATTTTAGTTTTGTTTTGGTTGCTATGCCTTGACTCTGGTCCGGCATAGTACACAGCCACCGGTGTGTACCGAGTATAACCCACTAAACACAATAATAATAATATTAATATTGAATGCCACATGTGGAAATGAATGTTACATATTGTATAAGGTATATTTATGGAAAATAATGTTTAAAAAAGAGTTAAATTTTATTTTTAAAGCATTTTTGTTTATTACTTCACAATTACTTTTATATATTTTTATTTATCATAATCAGAAGAAAATGTAATAATAACTTTTATTGAAAGTTTTATATTTATAGATGTGTGTGTGTAAAAATCACATTTGCATGCATGCATGCATATTAATTAAATGGTATGAATGGTGGTTATAAATAATTATAATTATTTATTCTTTCTTTTTATATAGGTCAAAGACACGTTCTCCATCACCTCGAAGATATCGATACGGCTTTCCAATGAAACATAAATCACGAAGAAAATAATTTTACAGAATTTGAAAAGCACATTTTTTGATTTCATATTTCTTTTTGTCTTTTGTATACATATAGTTACTGTTTCTAGACATTCTTGTAAATAAATCATCAAATAGTTTATAGAAATCAAGATTGATTTTTATTGTGAAGTCTGAACAATTTTGTAGTTTTCTAAATTATAAATAATAATTTCTCAAATTGTTGAATTTAACATCAGAAATATCTTAAGAATTATTTAAACTTTACTCTTCTCTAAAGTAAAAAAGAAAAAATGATTTTTACATTTTATCTAAAACAGGAATTTTAGGAATTTCTATATCATATCAAATGAAAGATGAGCCTTCATCTTTCATTGGATATGAAAGATGTCCTTGTATGGCAAAGACTTGGTGGATTGTTATGGTCTGTCCATTGTTATTAATAGAATACTGAAACTATTTCATTCATTCAATTACTGTTCAGAAAATATTAAAGATTTAACTTAGAAGACAGTGGTAGTATAAATCATTAAATGTTATGTATATTAATTAATAAATAATCATGTACAGATTTTGCACTTACTGCAGTATCTGTACATGATTACTTATAAATAAAATAGTGATATATTTTTAAAATAGTAGCTCTAGCTTAACTGTGCAATGTTTCACTTTGTTTATTTTAAGCTTTAAAAAATGAAGCAAATAAGTTAAAATTGTACAGTAATGACATTATTATTATTAGTTCAAATTTCATTAGCGAAATGATAAAGTAAACAAAGTGAAACATGATACATTAAGCTAGAACTATCACTTTAAAAATATATAATTATTTTCGTTATCAAAATGTATTATATATTTGTTATTACCATGATAAATTTTGCATCATGTGTCAATCATCAATGAAACCACTAACATCAACCATGAATGAGATTTTGAATCAAAGAAAAAAATGATTTTGTAGAATTCATCTTTTATTGAGCATATTATAATGAATTATTTTTATTTCCCATTTATTCAAGATGAAATTTATATTGATTTTTAAACTTTAAGGGATTTTATTGGATGACTAATAAAAATTCTATTATTTGTAAAATATAATTACATTATATATAATGGATTTTCTTTATAGAATTTAACTCAGTATTATGTAGATTTTGTTATAAACCACAAGAATTGATTAATGGTTCATATGAGAATAGTACGAATTCTGACTAATCAAATTTGAATCTTGCATGATTTAACTTAAGGGATAATGTGGAGCTGACTAACATACATGCTGGGGCATGTGTATGTCCTGGTGAAAAGTATTCAAAAACAACAATTGTAATTAATTTGCAAATAGACTATGAAAGTTTTCAAAATTTAACTTTCAAACACAATCAAATTTTGTAGTTAGTTACAGAAGTGCACCCAGAGGGTCTTAGCACCCTCCAAAGTAAAAGAAACACTAGTAAATTTTCCAAAAATCTTTTCTTAATTAAAATTCATTTTTCTTATTTATATTGTGTCGTGTGTTCTATTCCTATATTATGAACTAGCGGTCGCATAAGATGGAATTTTATTGAATTTGCATTAAAAATTTATCCATTTAACTCAGATCCACCAATATTAAATCTTTAATGCGCCACTGGTTGATCAATAATATGGTTTCCGACCGCTGCTAAAATTGTTTAATTGAATTTTTGATGGACTCCCGAAAACATGGTTGGTTCTCTATTGGAAAAACACAGCTTTATTTTTAAAACTGACTGTGTAACCTCTGGTTATGCACGCCATCCCAGCAGATGGCATTAAAAACTTACTGCTTCTCCTATGGAAAAGTTCTCGAAAACGAAAGTAGGGAAAATCTGATAAAACACAAAACTGCTTGTTTTTGCATTAGAACCATATTTAATTATATTTACATACAATTCGGAATTTTGTCAGTCGAATTCGTTAATTTTCTACAAATTGTTAGTTTTAATATTCTAAATCGTACGTAAATAGAATTAAATATGGTTCTAACGTAAAAGACTGTTTATTCTTTCTACTTCCGTTTTCAAGAATTTTTCTATAAGAAAAGCATTAAATTTTAAACGAGATTGCGTGAATAACCAGAAGTTAGTTAGCCTTAAGTCTGTTATATCAGTTCGGTTAGAAAAACGTTAATTAAATTCAAAAGTAACAGCAAAAACTGGGCGGAATTAGTTATAAACATGCACCAAAAAAAAGTAATCCAGTATGAATGTAACACTTCATCACTAAAGAACTAATTAATATAAAAAATTTAAAATGACTTTCAAATCTTCATAAATAGCCTTCCAGACATGCGACATTTTAATTAAATTCTCCGTCTTCATTACAAATTTAGTTATGCTTCTGATTTCGCATATTTAAAAGAATTCATGTATACTGTATTGTATGTTATGTTAATTCGATATGAACAGTAGATTTAATCGATATACCGTATTGAATTTGTTACTATTTTGTTATTAGGAGAACAGTTATATATCCTGAAATCTTTTCTATTAAAATATAAATATAGGCTAACCTATTAGCCCAACGCCGTATCTAGGCAGGTGTACCCGCACAGGGCCCACTTGGAAGGGGCTCAAAATGCATGTATTTGTTTTATTATTTTCCCAAACCTAATTAATTAATTAAGGGGCCTAAATGCAAATTCTTGCACAAGAATGGCTAGTTACGGCACTGCGTATATACCACGGATGGACGATGCTTTGTGAGTCCGCATATCATATACTAGTCATTCTTATCTAGAAAAAGTTATGTCGTGCCGAATACAGTAGAGCGTCGTTCATCCGAACTAATTGGAGACACGGGTCGTTCGGAAAATCGATATTTCGGATAACCTATCCCATGTTGAAATTTTTCTCCGTTGCGTGTCGCTTTGCGTTGAATTTTCGTCGATGTTAAGCCTAACGTAAACTTTTTAAAATAATAATCGTGACTATTGTATCGTTAAAAATGATTTCTTTATTTTGTACAAACAAAATAAATATATTGAAAAATATAAAAACAATAAAAAATTATACTTCAGAAGTTAATTTAGTATCAAAAACGTAAAATATTTAAGTACCCAAGACATAGCCAAAGATTGCAGCGCCACAGCACTGGCGAAAATTCAAATTTGCCTACTGGAATTCTTTCGGATAAACGACGCTCTACTGTATTTGATTTCGGATAAAGATATTTAATAAAATAGGTCATAATTTTAACCCCAAACACCAAAAAAAATGAAGCTTAAACCGATCTTCTACTCGCCATGCTAGACGTAGCGAACGCCATTATCGACCGTCTAGGATTGCCAGATGGCGGCGCTCGACTGTCCGCCGTTCACGTTTTGGGCTGAATACGGCGGCCGCAATTTCTCTATTGTCTACTCTTGGTAAAGTTCTGAACAAACTTTTCTATAATAGGCTATACTGGTTCTGGGAGTCGCGGGGAGGCTCTTTCATAGTGCACAGTATGGTTTCAGACAGCAGAAAGGGAATCGTCTTTTCTGCTCCATGCTCGACCGATTTATACCAACGTGTCCCTTGTGTTCGCTTCAGGAACACCTCACCTTACTCGGGGTTGTCCTTGACCACAGACTTTCATGGAAGGACTGTGATCCTTCCTCAAATAATCATTCGCATCAACCTTTTCCGTGTTACCAGCAATAGTTGGGGTCTTGACTAATGATGCAACGAATATTCGGTTACTATTCAGTATTAGGCCTATGTTTCGCAATTCGGCAGAATACCGAATATCTAAAAAAGGAGTAAGAAGTAACAAAAACGCAGTAAATTAATCATTTTGGTAACTTTTATTAATGCTAAACATACATTTCAAGTTCGAGAAAGCGCAATTTTTTGCTTATTTATGTGAGCTCAGCCGATTGGGGTGAGGGGTTTTCGACAGCCGAGCGCCCAATTCTGTCTTGTGGGCGCAGAATGACTCACCGAGACAGGTTTACCATATAAAATGCATAAATTGTTTATCAATATCGAAAAAATATCGTTTAATAAAATACATAAATTGTTCTTACAATAATTCAATATGTCAGGCGAAAGCCTATCCAACGATGGGTTACTATAACAGTTCCAATAAAAACGGAAAAGTTCGACTGTTCGATCGGTCCTTGGGTATTTTCGGACGCAGAGAACGACGGCCCCGGAGCACGCACAGCACTTGTAGAGATGTCCTCGGTAGACGAGTCGAACCTCGACGATTCTGGACGTGACGGGTTGGCGAAACCAGCTCCTAGGGCGTCGAAATAGCCTACGTTGTATCTCTGTCGTGAGCACCAAATCCCAGCAGGAGAGCACCAAAACCCAAGACGTCGTAAAGTTCCCGAAAACGCGGTTTTATCGATTTTTCCACCGCAGTCGCCTCTCCATTGTTCTCTCGTCACATGGTGACAATTCGAAACCCAACGAAGGGCGCGGGAGAGGTCAACGTCGCGTCGGAACACGACTCCTCTCCAACCTCGTTTTCCTCGACTTTACTCTATCTATTGTTTAAAATCGTTTAACAAGACAAAAGGCTCATTGTTTAAATCCGATCTTTAAGTTCGCTCTTTCGCGCTACGAAATTTGACTCATTCAAAAAGTCGTTAATTGCCTCCCTTAGGACCCCGTTTGGGTCCTCACATTTATGTAAAACATCAAAGGAAAGTAATATAACTAAGTTATTTTTTAAATTAAAAGATCAAAAAAAGGTAACAAATCAAATGAAAACTACCTACTTATTATGTAGTTTTAGTCATCTATATACTCGTATATAAAAGAGCAAGTCCTGATAGGATAATTAACGCAGAACCAATAGTTTTCTTTTGGTGCTAGAATCTTAAAAATTTGAAGGTGTGTTCCTTTTGTAAAGTTTAGGCGTGCTAAGAAAAGATTTTACGAAATTCAACCCTAAAGGGGTGAAAAGGGTAAAAAATTTGTATGAAAATTTTTACTATGTGGGCACATTAGATCGAAACTTAGGTCATAAAATGTGAAAAGAATAATAATTAATGATCTGTAAAGCATTTTTATGAAATCATCCCTTATTATAAACTTGAAAATTTAACTTTTTTGTTTCATTGTAGAAAATTATTTATCATAACTGAAGTTCCAGACAGCTTGGTAGCCCGAACAGTCCCAGGCTTTCATTCGTGCATGCTAAGTGACTTTCGTTACAAGCATTTAGCTTTCCGAAATCTATGAGAACAATTATTTGGCATTGACGGCCGCG